TTGGCAGGTGACTGCTTCCCCCTCCTGAGGCACTGGATGGCTTGCCAGAATTTCGAGGCTGACCAATAGTCCCTCTCCGTGGCCTCACCGAATTTTTCCCAGACCCGAGTTTTTGCCTCCATAACCACCCGCTTGCCCTGCCGGTACCTGTCAGCTGCCTCAGGTGTCCCACAAGCCAACCAGACTTGAAAGGTCTCCTTCTTCAGTTTGACGGCATCCCTTACTTCCAGTGTCCACCACCGGGTTTGGGTATTGCCGCCATGACAGGCACCGGAGACCTTACGGCCACAGCTCCGAACGGCCGCATCGACAATGGAAGCAGAGAATATGGTCCACTCGAACTCAATGTCTCCAACCACCCTCGCAATCAGATCCAGCTCACCACCAGGTGGTGATCAGTTGACAGCTCCACCCCTCTCTTCACCCGAGTGTCCAAGACATACGGCCGGAGGTCAGATGAAACAACCACAAAGTCGATCATCGACCTCTAGCCTAGGGTGTCCTGGTGCCACGTGCACTGATATTAATACTAATACTGATACTAATATTTTGGAAGCAAGTTCTTGTCTATAATGATAGCTGGAAAAAATGTGAAATCTTCCCCAAGTGGATTCTGTGGCCAAAGGCATTAGCGAGCTCAGTCCTCATGGAAATCTATGCTGGATCTGCCAAATCATGTCTGTGTGCTATGATCGTCTGCATGAAGGAGGAAATGCTGCTGAAATGGTCTCGGAACTGCAAACTGTTGATTCTCAGTGAAATCAGCAAGAACACAAACACCTGACCACACTAGGAGGAAGGACTGAAAATTCAGCTCAACAATATTATCATCTCATGTCACATACCCGTACCTTTCAGCAGGTACCACATCTCATTTTGTCCCAGACGACTCACCGTAGTTGTAGTTGTTCTTCCGATAGGTTTTCAAAGACATTCTGACTGTCTGACAGCTGCAGCGATCTGCAGGGACACAAAATAAAAAACGGTGTGATTTTTCATAAAAACCCAAGACACAGAAACAGTTCAGGCTCCACGTCCTTAAAGGTTCACAGTCCTGGATTAAAACTGCTGCAGTAATGTCATCTGGGATGAATGACAGATGTTGGTGGTTTGAGGGTTTCTGTGCTTCATTACCTTCACTGACATTAGCATCCAGATTTGTTTACCTTCACAGACACCTTCCATATTTTATCAACATGAATGGTATTTAAGTCAGAAACTGGTAATTACAGGAAAGGCCCCTTCGTGGTTTTCGCTCACCCTCGGACAAACTCAGATGTGGTGCACCTCTATTTGTGTACGCAGGCACGTTCCGCATATGTAAACCCGAAAACATGAAGGGGATCTCCTGACAGCCAGAACAACAGCTTGTGTTTGTTATAGTTAACACATAAAAAAAAACAATTTTGCCTGGCTGCTTAACAAGAATAGGACCAAGGAAGGGAGACACAGTACATACATCCAGAACGAGTGTCCAGTTTTCATATTAGATGCATGGACAGTCTGTGTGCACAAGGAAAGGCTGGCCTCAACTCCAATGGCATTAATGCAGCATTAGTTACGCTGGGGAATGCAGCTGAGTAATGCAACCATCTCTGGCCAAAATTTACAAGACTCACACAGACTGTCTGTCTGACATGTCTCTCTATTTGCTACCTGGTGGACAATATGTTTTCTCCACATTTTTGTTGAGCATCTGAATTGTCAATTTAATAAACTGTATACTTTCACAATTATTTGGTTAGCACATTGTGAAATGATGATGGTGGTGGTGGTTAGGTGCTCACCACAGACAGAACTATCACGTGCTTATTAGGTAGAAGGGAGCGAATGAGGGGGTGATTTAGGACACAGCCCCGGTGTATGCTTTGGTCGGCAGTGCCCCAGAATGCACTACTCGCTAGAAATGTACCTCATGCTATGGTTGCACAATGTTGGCAGATTGAGAACAAGAACAATACAGGTTATTCTGGTCTGGGAGATTTCGCATGTTATTTGCAGGTGGTTAGCCACAGTGCTAACCTCACACCAGCTTCTTTAGTTGTGTCAGTTTGTTACCAACTGAAACTAAATACAATGTGTAGCTGAATGGATGGTACTGGTGTTAACAGTAGGATTTATTTTGATGAACTGCTAGCGCTGGTGCTGTTTTCTCTCTGTAAGAAATCACATCGTCCATCTCAGAATTACAAGTTAGAGGCTGTTCTTCCATTTAGCTGCCCACTAATTATAATTTAAACAATATGACATAATAATCCCTGGCTCATAACTATTTACAAGTCAGAACATTTTAATCAGATAAACATACTATGACATGAATCACCTTCGGTCCCTGAGGTGGAAGAGCCTGAACTGAAACCGTGTGAGACAGGCAGACAGACATGTTACCTGCACTCGATCCTCTGCAGTGGACATTGCTGTAGTCCATTGGAAAGTCTGAGCTGGACTCTGTTAGAGAATCAAAGCAGGACAGCAACTGGTTTAGCCATTTTCTTGATAGTTTGTGTTGATAAATGCACGGGTTCCAGAAGCAGATTTCAGAGATGCTCACCTGGGTTACACCTGGCAGGGTCCTGGTAGTATGGATCTACAGAGAACACAAAGAGAACACTGTGGTCACACCTCGTTTCTTGGTTTCAGACAACAGTAAAAGGGGACGATGTTCAGTCACCTCAGGACAAAAAAAAAAAAAAAAAAAAACCCAGTTCAGAAAAATGCCCTTTTATTTGATTTTAGTAGCATCAGTTAAAACAGGCGAACTGTGGCTGCTTTAGACTTCAGTCCCAACAGGAGACAAACGTCTGAACATTCCGACTTGAGTGCTGCTGAAAATCACTGGAATTACGTCCACCCTCACTGAACCTCAGCAAATCAACAAATCACACAGGGAAAATCCCAAACACCACCGAGCTGAGCCACGCTGAGGCAGCTCGGAGAAACATGGGTGTGTCGTTTTAGAGGTCAAGGGGATCGAGATGAGGGTTTTTTTCAGGACATGCTGGTCTGGGCCCTGTTTAAAGAAGCAGAGGACAGTGAGGGTTTTATTGAGTGTAAAACGAGTGGGCCGCCTGTATCAAGGAGCTCTTTGAGAGTGTCAGTGGGAGTGAAGTCGGAGGGGAAATGACTCACTATCTGTTGGAGAGGGGGGCAGAAATAAACTGCTAGAAAACACTGACAGGGCCCAGCTAAGCAGGGAAAGTGCTTCCTGATGGTGCATGTTTTCCACTCAAGGGTGAAATATCCCCATTCAGGCGTAGCCTCCATATTGAGACTCTTACAGGAGTAAATGAGTTTGTTTTATTAGATCAATATTCATGCGAGAAGTTTGAGTGCGATTCTTTTAATCTAAGTTGTTAAAAAGATTGAACTAAGTTCATGTTTTTAAAGTAAATGATAAAATGCTAAATTGCCTTAAAGCTACAGCTGAAAATTCTAAAAAAAAAAAAAATCTTCTGAAAGAAACGAGATAATCTGAAGTGTCTTTAAATGTAATAACGGCTCATTACGTCTGCTCTGCTGACTATCATCTCTAAAGACTGATCGAAAATAGAAACTGACAGCAGTGTAAAACCTATGTTTTGCAACCATCACTGAGTCCGTGCTCTGCACAATCTGTTCTGGGTTTGACTTGTGTGTTTGTTCATTCTCAAGGTGAAATATAACCAGTCCATCAGGCTCTCTTTATAAGTAATATCTCTAGTAGTCTCTGTCTCACTGAGCTAAATGAGTGCCTGCAGTCACAACAGGGCTCATCAGACCCAGCAGAAAGGCCTTGCACACCAAGTGTTAAAGTGAATGGTCCACTGTGAGCATTTAGCATTCAGCCAGACATAGCATCCACCTGTTCGTCACTGCCAAAGAAATGCCAATGGCACATAATGACACTGACCTGAACTTTATTGCATGGTTGAGCATCTTTTGTGCCCACTGCTGGGCCTGGCTGGGCAAACCCAGCGCTCATACCCTGACAGACAGTCACCCTACACATGTAGATCATGGCATGGAGCTCTGCCCCCAGCAGCCACGCAGTCCCTCTCAGCTACTGACTGGCTCCTTTCTTTCGGTCCGTGACTGCAGGGTTTGTCAGAACTTCATCATATGACTTTGGTTTTCACTCCGTAACAATTCTGACTTTAAATGTAGCGAAATACCTGGGATAAGAATTCTTAAGTGAAATTACTGACTTTTTAAAAGCAAAAAGTACCCACATTAACAAGAGTAAATGTAACTTGGCACTTCCATCCCTGGAAACCAAAACAGAGACAGTGATACCTGGTCCCTCTGCCTTGACAATGGCCTCAGGAGAGATACAGACTCCGCGGTCGTACAGTGGCAGTTCGCTGCAGGCCAGGCTCTCCGGCCAGTTGTGGTTGTAACGCTTCATCACCGGCTCACAGCCAGACTTCGCCCGCTCACACACCGCCTTGCAGGGTCTGATGGGCTCATGCTGGAAGTCGATGGTGCAGATGGGAGCGTACATGGCACACAGGAAGAAGAGCAAATCTGCACTACAGCCAGTGCCTGAGGAAACAGGAAAACAGGCATGTTACCGGGGATGAATCAGCCAGGCTGAGCCACTTGAAGTTGTTTTAAAATACCTTTAAAGTTGAACGTTTGGCATATAGAAATAAAAACTATAATGATACTTCAGCTACAGTGTAGTGCATAGTTTTCATTCAGAAACCATTTTTTCACTTATTTGGGGAAATGCTGTTTTTGCTTCAGGCCTCTGGTGGGTGCAGCCCATGGCAGTGGTCTGACTGACACGTGAGGCTTGTTGTCAGTAGGAGAAAGAAATCAACACTGGACGGAGCAGGACTGAGGTTTGGCTGCACAACTTCACAATGAAGTCACAGAATGATTTTGAACTTGTGACCTAAAACTGCTTCCTGGTTTCTGGCCTGCAGGTCTTTCATTAGAACATTTTTCTGGTTAAATCTCATGGCACTATAAATCCTCTGACCTCAGCTAGGCTCTAAGTTCAGCCAAACCCTCAATCAAGAAGAGAGCAAAGCTGAAAACAATAACCATAAAAACCTGGCCTGATGGTGCACTCTGTCAGCTTTAGGACTGCTTCGATCAGACAGAATGGGAAATATTTACTCACCAGGACCTCAACAATTTTGCTGATACAACTCTGTCATATATCAATTTTTGTACAGACATGGTTGCCACCAATAAATACATTAGAGTATACCCCAACCAAGAGCCCGGGATGTCCAAGGAGCTAAAGTCTCTACTGCTTTTAGAGCTGATCTGAGGAGAGGGACCGAGGCCAAAATGAGGAGCAACTCACAACAGTCTTTACCAGGATCTTTGTCCCTTACACTCTCTATCATTCCATATCACCTGACTATAATTCCTGTATCTAAGTGGTTAAACACAAGCATCCTGAATGACTACAGACCTGTAGCCCTTACATCAGTAGTCACAAAGTGCTCTGAGGGACTGGTTTTACAGCACATCTAGGCCAGCCTCCCGCCCAGTTTAGATCCATATCAATCTACTGAGGATCCCATTGCTATTGCTCTTCATTCTGTGCGGAGCCACCTTGAACATCAGGATCGCTATGCAAGGATGCTGTTCATAGACTTCAGCTCAGCGTTTAACACTATCCTTGCCTGCAAACTATCGGTATTAGGGCTCTCTCCAGCTACCTGCCACCGGGTAAAGGATTTGTCAAAATGGGTCCTATCTCGTCCACTATAATGCTCAGCGCCGACTCCCCTCAGGGCTGTGGGCTGAGCCCATTCCTCTGTGCTCTCTAGATATAGGATTGTATCTCTCATCACACCACCAACAACATTATCACATTTTCAGATGACAGCACACTGATTGGATTCATCTCTAATGATGGTGATTTGCCTGCTAAGGTGCTAAATCAGACTGGTGAACATGACCCATTGAACATCAGCATGTTAGCACTGTGACAACAGGCTGAGTTCTGCACTGCTGTGCTCAGTGTCACAAAGCTGCTAGCATCTTGTCACTACGATGCCCCATAGTCTCTCAAAATGCCCAAATGTTTCCAGTTCAAAGTGGTCATTCCCAGTGGAGTTTGAAATCTGTTCAGGATCCTCAGCCAAAGCAAACCAAACTCAGGAAAAGGCTCAGTGTCATGGTTTGTTAAGGGAAAATTCTTTCACCCCCCCCCCAACCTTTGTCCTCTGTCTTTTCCATTTCCAACAGCTACCAAAACAACATCAGCTGTTTCAAGTCTGAAGGAGTCTTTACACCACCAACTCAGAAGAGAAAATCCAGATGACCACACATTTGGTGTGATCATCCGACAGTACCAAACCTTTAAAAATGTAACTTGGAGAAAAAAGGTGGTGAAAAAAAGTATAAAAGTATTTTGTAGATAAATGATTTGGTCTCTGTTTCAAGTCAGAAGCAGAGCTGAGACAAGAGGAGGACCAAGATGTCGACACAGTGATAGTACTGTTGAAGTGTTTCCATTGATTTTAAAAGTAAAAATAATCACTTTTTTGCACATTGATCAATGAATGATCATCAATACATAGAGAGGAAGGCAATGCATCCAACACAATTGTTAGCCCTCAAAAATACACAGGGTTTCCATCAATACAACTTAATGAAAATATAATTTATAAAAACAAACACCACCTTTAATTTGACGTCCAAATCAATATCATACATAGATCACAGGATTTGTCATGGCTCTGAATCATCAGATATCTTTGACTCAGTAACTTAAGACAAGGCAACAGAAACGGTGCTTTTACATAATGTTACACATACTGGCTATCGCAGGCTGTCACTGGCTGCTGCTGTGGTGGGAACCAACGCCATCACAACAGGCCGAACATGTGGGAGCTCGGTTTCAGGCTGCGTGTGTACTGGGAAGGAGGATGGTCACATTCCACCAACCTGTCCCGATGACTGGTTCCTATTTTTACATTTCCATCAGCTATGTTTTCCTTGTTTTGGCCCTACACATTTAACTATGTAATATTTTTTGTACTACTAAAAACTGACAAAATTATTGTTGTAGTATTTGTAAAACCAAGTGTCAGTGACACACAGAACTGCAAAGTTTGCACATTAGAGCTGTGATGATGAAGACATCAACTGAATTTCTGACTGATAGGGAATTAACTGGCTACTATTTTAATAATCAATGAACCATTTCAGTCATTATTTGAGGTGTTCAGGTTGTCAACATCATAGTAAAGGAACAGAAAACCAGGCATTTAATGATTCCACCTCTTACTCTAGGAAACTGATTTGCGTTTTCCTATTTTGCTAATGTTTTAATTACCAGAGTCATTGATGATAAAAATAATTTGTCCTTATATGCATTTTTCCAGTAATCAGTGACGTGTGACTGTTTGCACTGACACTTTAGTTTGGGTAAAAATAACACTGGGTCAAAACTGCCTATTTCTTGGTTGTTTTTCCACAGGAAAGATATTATGTTGGTGCTCTAATGACCCAAACTAGGTCTGATCTTTAACGTGCACATGATATTCATCAGTGTTCCAGCACACAAACACATACCCATGCTAAAAATCCTGGGACACCACAGGTATTTCTCCTGGAAAACAGACAGATTTTGGTAAGTATTCTCTAAAAATACCAGGATCCTAAGAATTCAAGCTAAGTAATTTTCTGAGCATTTGTGGTCAAGAGACTAGTCAATTAGATGAATGAGGCCATTAATAACTGGGGACTTAATTAGTTTCTGTGGTCAGAGACGAGGATTTCTTGGTTGGTCTGGACAGTGTTTCTCTAACTAGTTTTTTGAAAGTCTGAGTGACTGAGACATGTGGCTTCCTCCAGGATCTACCCAGCCCTTTTAGAGGGTCGGGGGCTCTGCTGGGTCAGGGCTACCGTCGAACCAGAACACTCTCAAAATGTTTCTGCTTCATCACAACTGCTGCTTCAGATGCCAGTTTTTGTTCCTTTCTGAAGGAACGTAAACAAAATGATGGATCCCACAGAAATGTTTCCATGATCATTATGTGAACTGAAACGACTGCACCTCAGACCCCTCTGTGAAACCCCGTTTGCACATGACACAGCAGTCATCGGTCTCATCCGAGATGGTGACGAGTCAGCCTGCAGACGGGAGGTTGAGCAGCTGGTCCTGTGGTGTAGCCGCAACAACCTGGAGCTGAACACGCTCAAAACAGTGGAGATGACAGTGGACTTCAGGAAGAACCCCCTCACCATACTTGGCAGCACTGTATCAGCAGTAAAGTCCTACAAGTTCCTGGGCTCCACTATCTCCCAGGACCTGAAGTGGACGTCCAACATCAGGACCATCACCAAGAAGGCACAGCAGATGATGTACTTCCTGCACCAGCTCAGGAAGTTCGACCTGCCCCAGGAGCTGCTGATACAGTTCTACAGAGGAATCATCGAGTCTGTTCTCTGCTCCATCACTGTATGGTTTGGCTCAGCAACCAAACAGGACAAGTACAGACTTCAGCGGACAGTCAGGACTGCAGAAAAGGTCATTGGTGTGAGCCTGCCCTCCATGGAGGACCTGTACACCTCAGGGGTCAAAAGGAGGGTAGAGAGGATCACTGCAGACCCCTCACACCTGGGACACAATCTGTTTGAACTCCTCCCATCTGGACGGCGTTACAGGTCACTGTGCACCAAGACAACCAGGCACAGGGACAGTTTCTTCCCCCAGGCCGTCAATCTGATGAACACTTGACCAACAACAGTATGACTGGACAATAACCCTCAGTGCAATACCTGTAAATATACCTTTGTGTATATCGATCTGGAAAATGCGTGTATATATAGTTCTCTATAAATACGTTTTTATTTTCCTAATGCACATTCCTTTTTCTTGTTTGCAGAGTTTTTCTTTTCTTGTTCTCTGTCTTGTCTTGTTTACTCATTGCCTTACAGAAGAACACTGTACATACACAATTAGAGCCACTGTACCAGAGTCCAATTCCTCATGGATCCAACACACCTGGCCAATAAAACCGACTGATTCTGAAGCTGTAAGGCTTTCTGTTGATCAGGCAAAAGAGCTCAAACCAGATCCAGCTCTTGAGTTCTCCTATAGATATCAAACAGGAGAATAAGAGACAAACAGATCAGCTGCCCTGCTCTGGCAACTGTGAGGAGTGACGCTCCATTTGTTGTTTGTTACATAGTGCCACATTCAGGGAAACCCTCTTCAGTGAAGCGCAGGCCGCACAAGGTGACTGATCATCAGCCCACGCTGAGGACAAGACGTTGTAGATTGAACCAGACATCAGTCTGAATGTTCTAACAGCTCTGTACTTTGGCCACACTTACGTCCCTTTATCAGTCAGTAAGCAGCACAGTCTCTCTGCTTCCATGTTACTAAAGAAAAAGAAGGTGCATGATTCAAGTTTGTCTAACAAACCCAGTGACAGTGGGAGAGGACGTGGTGTCTCTGAGCCAGCGGCTGCCAGAGTGAAGAGGTGGGGTCTTTTGCACAGAGTGGGACAAAGAAAGAAGAAGAAAATCAGAAAAACTCCCATCACAACTTGAGAAGCTGACACCAGCTTTACCTTCTGCGAATCAATTATTGATTAGATGATTCAGTCACTTTTTTTTTTTACCCAATTTGTAATCACATTTTTGAATGCTTTTAAAAATATAGAATAATTTAAGGTTGCAACTAACATTTGTTTTGTTACTGAATAATGTGTTTATTTGTTTTTCGATTCAGCAATTCACCATTTGTTCTATTAGTGAGATTTAATTAAAATTTCCCAGGACCCAGACTGATGCATTTACACAGGATTGTTTTCCCAGAGGAATTCACTTTAATACGTTCCGGAAGCTTAAAACATGCAAATATTCAGACTTCAGAAGCTGAAACTAATCATCTCGACATTTTTGCCTTAAAAACAACAAATGTCTCATTAGCAAATGTATCAGTCATTAATGGCTAATAGATAAATTGGCTGTTTAAGCCCTAGACCCTTACACAGAGTGTTCCTTTGGAGTGCTGTTTCTACGAAATAGGTAATAATCATTAATTTACTTATTTTAAAAGTATTGTTCATTCAGTGATATTTTGTGATTCCTTGTCAAACGGTCAATGATCTGAACCGAAGGCTAAACATGAAATGACTGAGATGAACTTTGCTCGGTTTGCCAGTTAATTAGGCACTAAAGCCATTAACGAATTAATTAAAGGTTCATTCGTGCACAGCCTGGCAGTAACTCACCCAACAGCCCTTCAAACTGCTCGATGGCCAGCACCGCGTTGTCCTGCGTGCTGTGGTGGAGGTGGTTCGGCATCTTGGTCATGTTCCACGGCATGGACTGGCACAGCGCTCGGCGGCCGCCGCCGGGACGGCAGGCGGCCACAGCGCGCAGGATACGGCCAGCAGAGACACGGAGAGTCCCAGAGAGAGCATGTCCCTCGGATCACAGAGCGGACACCCTGAAGTCACGGCAGTGCTGTCGGCGCACATTCACGGGGACTTAGATCCACACAGGGACGTGGATTTCCTGCCGACTGATGCGTTTTTGCAGACAGCGGGAGGAGCTGCTCTCTTATTCACACTTTGACCTCCTCCTCCTGCTCTATCCCTCCTCCTCCTCCTCCTCCCCTCTTGTTCTCCACACTGAAGGTCAGATTCCTGTTGGATGAAAACTTCTTTGTGCCTCAAAGTGTTAAAATGAAATGAGAGGTTTAGAAGAGAAATCTCTTTAGCTGAACTGGAAACAGCTGAGAGACTTTTTGTGGAGCAGTAGCCCAATGCTAAAACGTTTGCAAACCACTGGTTTAATCTTTAGCAATATGCTGTATTTTATAAGGTCATCATACACTCAGTGGCCACTATATTAGGTACATATACCTTAAACAAATGCCATATAATCCAACAGTCCTGCATGAAATGAAGGTGATAACAGTTTGTGTTCAGACTGTTTCACCTGTATGACCATTGTGGAGGCTGCAGGTTGTGCTGCTGTTCAAAAGAAACTTATTTCCTCTGAAATAAGTTGAAACTGACTAAAGTATTCTCTATTGCATATTTAATACAACAGACATGTAGCTTTTAAATATTTTGTGAAGTGAAAACAACATGGACAAAAACAGTGGGACCTGATATCTTGTTGAAGCAGTCACTCTGGTGTTTGTAGCTCACGTCTCAGCTCGTCTTGATGAACCACTCCACTTCTCCCAGGTTCAGTGTGACTTTCAGCTCTTTGCACAGACATGCAGCGGTTTCTTCTGTTTTGGCTCCTTCTCCTCTTGGAGGACCATGAGCTGCAACTGAGACAGTCTCTGACACTGGGCTTCTCTCCAGAACACCTCCCTCAGCTTCACTGGGCTTCATCTGTCCAGAGGACGTTTTAATGAAACTGCCTTCGGTGCTGATTTTTCTGTTGTCTACACGGCCTTTTCCTGAATGTTCAGAAAGTCACATATGCCAGGCCAGTGTTGACCTTTGACATCTGTGGCCTTGTTGCATTCACAGCTCTTATTGTTCCATTAAAGCTGAATATGATGCTGCAAACTGCAGCTGTGTGTGTGTGTGTGTGTGTGTGTGTGTGGTTCAGTAATGGTTATCAGATGGTGGTGGAGCTTCCCATGTTTGCACAGTTACAACCAACACACATGCACAGTCTCTGTGGGTTTTCTGACTCATGTATCAACATGCAGAGGACTGAGTCAGCATTTTATCTTCTGTCCTTCCTCCTCTCCTCCTCGCTCCCTTCATCTTTGTTTTGTTGTCTCCGTTCTCATGATTTCATCTCTGCAAGTGTGTTTGTGTTTCTGATGTAACAGCCTTACGCATTTGGCAGAAAAATGTTATCACACACAAACACACATCCCAGTACAACTCAACACCCTCTCCTCTTCTTTTCTTCTGTCCTAGTCTCCTTTCTTATCCTCTGTCTCCTCCTTTTCCATTGTTTCCTCTCCTCTCCTTATTTCCTTTCTGCAGCTCTCCTCTCCTCTTTTGTCCTTGTCTTCTTTCCTCTTCTCTTTTTCACTTGATTCCTCTCCTTTTCCCTCTTTTCCTGTGCTTTTTAAAATTTTCTTTCACATTCTCTCTTCTCCTCTTCTTGGTTCATCTTCCCTCATCTCCTTTCCTGACCCTGACTCCTTCCCCTCTCCTCTCCGTGCTTCCTCTTCTCTTTCTCAGAAGTGAATCAAACTTCGGTGTATGTGTTGGTGGAATGAAAAGGCCCGATTTCAGCCAGAAAGAAAACTGTGGAAATATTCTTGGAAACTACCAGAACCTTTTCCAACATAAATACGACTGCAGCTGTCCACACACAGCATTGCAAAGGACTGAAAATAAAATTTACTCAATTTGCTACAGAGTCTCATAGTGGAGCTAAAAATGTTAAGTTTGTCCCAAGGGCGGTGTTCGGTCACGGGAGCATTAAAAGAGAACTACACCAATTTTGAACTGCAGTCCTACTTCAAAATAAGGCTCAATATATTTCATTTCTTTTATTCCACACTTTCTTCTTTGAATATAGCTGTCAAGTCAATTCATTACCCACAGTGCAACTCTGCCAGTTCAGTCAGAGATTTGGCGTTTGCAAAGTTTTTTCAAACTTTTCAAACTTGTGGTTTTCAGCCTCAATCAATGACTCGTCACTTGATGACGTTCATCAGGCTTCAACAGCTCCCTCTGGAGGAATTAAAGGCTTTATATGGCTTTTGTTCACATGTGCAGTAGTATTCCCTAAGACCTGTAAATGCACTTTGATGTTTGTTCTGACACCTTGTCTGACCTGGTTACAAGGCAGAAGTGACCAAAGTAGTTTGTAAAGAATGAACAACAACCTGCCAGTTGCTGTATGAAATAATTGTGAATGTATGAATGCAGTGGTTAGTGCTGTCACCTCACAGCAAGAAGGTTCCGGGTTCGAGCCCCGGCCGACCCGGGGCCTTTCTGTGTGGAGTCTGCGTGTTCTCCCTGCGTGGGTTCTCTCCGGGTGCTCCGGCTTCCTCCCACAGTCCAAAGACATGCAGCTTAGGTTGATTGGCCACTCTAAATTGCCTGTAGGAGTGTGTGTGGTTGTTTGTCTACAGGTCAGCCCTATGACAGACTGGTGACCTGTCCAGGGTGGACCCCGCCTCTCGCCCAGTGTCAGCTGGGATTGACTCCCAGCCCCCCACAACCCTATTCAGGAATAAGTAGATGTGTAGATAATGGATGGATGGTTGCTGGTTTCTAGAAGGTACACAAATTTTCACACTGAACCAAATGCACCCAAGCTTTAGTCCAGTTAATGTGGTGTCATGGACAAAAGGTCCAAACACCTGAGAAGTAGTACATTGATAAGCTTTTAATTTTGGGAATATTATATTCAGGCTTGTGCACGACAATGGGGGTCTGGCAATAGGTTTTAAGCCATTCAGTAAAAATACCAATGTGAGTGAATGTGTTACTTTTCACCTTCCTCAGGCTTTTCTACTGAACTGAAGTCTTCAGCTCATAGAAGCAAGGATGAGGCTCCCTCTACAGGACCTCACTGAGAACAACAACCCACCAGCCTGGTTTTTAAAACAAAGTCAGAAACAGGGCACTGTCAGGGAAATATGCCATGGGATTTATCCATCATGTTTGTTAAAGAATTGTAATTATATCAGCTTCAGTGTGGGTCTGTATGATCTATTATGAACTTGGTCGATGTGTCAGTGTTACAGAGCACTAGTGAAAGACAGACAGCAGGTGTCATGTTACACAGCAGCAGTGCAGTCTCACCTGCAGCAGAGCTGGTCCTCAGCTGTGACAGACAGACTACAGCACTGTAGCTGCTAAGACTAGATTTGTTCAGGACCTGCTTTAGCCCACAATAGGAGTTACCTGTAATTGCCTTTAACCTGGACCGGAGTTTTTTTCTCTGAACAGGAGATGATGAGAGGAGCAGTGTGTTTCTTTTCTGGAAACTGAACTGGATCCCACTCTACTCTGGTTTCTGGTGTTTTAACTGGACTATCTGCCATCAGCTGAATTTTGACCCAAGCTAGACCAAATCTGACCATCTGAAGAAACAGGTTTTTAGCCCTTTTATGATACTTGATGGCACATTTGTAACCTACTTCTGTACTTATTGTATATATGTATGTATGTTTTTGACTTGTTACATAGGGTTAGGGTCAGGCTAATCCCTAACCCCAACTCTGCTACCTAGGACCAAATGCTAGCTTACTGAACACATCAGCAATACTTCTCCTCTGCCACCCACCCCCTCACATATGAAATCTTATGCTCCACTCTGTCAAGTGAATTCAGCTACTTCTTAAATGTTCAGACACAAGGTTGTGTTTGACAGTAAGGTGACTTCACCTAATATATAAAAATAGCCACTTGTGCAACAGAGATGGAATCACTAATTAGCAGACTAGCTGCAGATGTAATATATATAAACTTGAAACAAATTTTATTTTCCGTTCATTTTATAAAGTTCAGTTATGTAGAATAGTCAGTTGTGCAACATTTTGAGGATGTTAAATCATGAGAGGATACATTGGATATCATCTACCTGTACATCACAGTGATCACATATGCCTTCATACTACATTAGGTATGTACTGTACTACTTACAGTATGTGCTTAAGTGAAAGCATATACAATGTAACCATGCGGTCCACCCAAACAGAGCTGTAAATGAGGATTCACAATTAGCAACAGATAACAGCATTGCTCCATGGATTGCAGTTTTGGTGACATTCATATTCCCCAGTGGGTGAATTCTTCTGACCTGGGGGCTACCGTGACTTTTCTCTAGCAGAATTTTAATTTGTCCAATACTTTCTTTTATGACCAAGTCCCTGTAAAACTAATGACATTCCTGTCAGTCACAGCTGTATTTGCTTTGTACTGTTTATACTGTTTAGTGAATGTTAGCATGCTAACATGCTAAACTAACAGTGTGAACACACGCTGGTAAACATTAAACCTCCACAACATCTGTCATTTTCTGAACAACCCCTCCCTTATCATTGCTTAACACATATTTACCATTGGCTATCATCTAACTACCTTTCATTCATCTTTCAGGTCCAGTCCAGTTCAGATTAGTTCAGTCCCATTCGGTCTGGTCCGGTCTGGTCATGCAGTCCCTGACCCATGAGATCCAGAGTTTCTCTCGGACACGGCTGAGGAAGCAGTGCACCCGCGTGACATCACTGAGCGGCCGTCGTATCATCGAGACCTGGAAAGGTGCAACGATCACTGTGGTCGAAGACTCCGCCACCCCAGAGAAGACACTGGGATATGTTCCTGACACTTCCTGGGACCTGCAGGTTGGGATCATCAGACCCTACCTGATGCTGGGTGAGTGGATGTGACACATAATGACTGAATGAAGAACTTGAAATATAGAAAAACCAGTGTTGGAGTGTGGTTTCTAGGTAGGCTTCAGTTCCCCAACTCATAATGCAGCTCGGTGTAGAGGGTTATATGAGCCCATGACCTGCAATAGGTGCTGTACTTACACACAGCTGGGTCGCCCTTTCCAGATTGGCTTTTTGGTTCAGTCCACGGAACAGAGCAGTTAAAAGGCAAATCCTGAAACAGCTAACTAACTGAACTCATTGTGTGCACGTGTGTCTGTAGGTTCTCAAGATGCTGCACATGACTTTGGCACCCTGAGGAAGTACAAGGTGAGCTTTGTTCCCTCTATTAAACTGAAAAAACACTAATACCACATACCTCTGAAGCCACTCAGACACAGGCTGGACTTATTTATTTGTTTACTTTGTCATATAAGAATAACGCAACGCAACATGTGTAATGTGTAGAGGGAGTCTAGTTGAAGCTAACTTGCAGGTCCTGTCCCTGGTTAGGCTTTTAGATACTGGTTAAAACAGAGACATGGATCAACATGAGACCAAATAAAAATAACAGTACAGATAAAACAGACTGCGTCTGTGTGCCACCTTTGCCTGTTCCTGTTAGGTCATTGCCACAGCGAATCATCACACTGAGGACTCGCATGTTGAAATTTAACACGTTTTATGCCAGATGCCCTTCCTGACACAGCCCTGAACTGAACCCGGGCCACAGCAGCAAGAACACTGATAAAACAGACTGTGCACATGTGTATATACACGTGTCTATTATGCTGCCCCCTGAGGACAAAGCACAAACATTAAGAGAAACTCACTGCAGATCCAGAAAGATAACAAACTCATGCAAACAGGGAAAACACATGTAACAAGAAATGCAACACAGAGGTGCCCCAGGATTCTTGAGGGAGCAGCGATGTTACAGATTTGTCTGTGTACATCAGGCTTTATGTACCTAACCTAACTCTATATTAAGTTCTGATGTTTCAAATCAGAACTGTAGCTTTTATGACTCTGATTTTATGTATCATCTTTACTCCAGGAAGTTCAAGATAAAACCTTTCCCTCTTCTTCCTCCTCCTCCTCTTCTTCTTCTTCAGGTGTCTCACATCCTGAATGTGGCCTTCGGGGTGGAGAATGTGTTTCCCGACCTGTTCATCTATAAGACTGTCAGTATAATGGACCATCCTGACGCTGATCTGCTGCTTCATCTGCAGGACAGCTGTGACTTCATCCAGCAGGCTCGCAGAGAGGTACCACCTCACTCTCATTACTGCAGAATTTACTTATCACTTCATAATATATTCATTATTTAGTTTATAAAATGTTCCTAACATATAATGTAAAGAATCTTATATAAAAAGAGAAAATGACCAGATCCTCAGCAGCTGGAACCAGAGAGGGTTTAGAGTTACTGAAACCTTTAATCTCAGGTCGTCCACTAACCACAGGGTTGGTGTTTTGTGTTAAAGTGTCCTTGGGCAGAACAATGATGCCAGGTGGGCACGAACACCTAGCAGCAAGCTATAAGCGCTTGCTTGGTTCATTAAGATAGAAAAGTGCTATCAGTGCAGTTCATTTCTAATTTTGAGAGGATGGAGGACCATATTGCTTTACTTTCACTTGATACCCACATATCATGTTAGTGGGCTCTGGTGTGAAATGTCCACAACATCCAATACTTGCATACTTAATACATTTAGATGTCCAGACGTGGTTTAGCTGTAGATAAAAGAAAACTTGGTCCTCCCAGCACTATTGCTGATATGTGCAAAAACCTTTTTCCCATTTAATAGTTCACAAATAAACTTTGTAAATACATGAAAAAGTACACAGACATTATTTTTGACTCTAAATGTGGTTTTGTTTGGTATTGTTGCTAACACAAACAAACAAGACACATAGCATTAAAACAACAAGTGATACAGAAGGTGGGAGCTCCTGTAGTTCAGGAGCAACCAACAACAAGAAACAATCCAATAATGCCTAGAGACCATGGGTAGAAAGAAATAAATGTGAGGGTTTTAAACGGAGAGAAGAGCTGGCATGTGACATATCCACTAGTTTCCTCTCCATGTTTCAGCCTCTTCTCGTGCTCTGTTCTAAATAATAGATGTTTAGTTTTGCTAATGTTTTATTAAACTGCACACAGATCAGATCTCAGTGACATACAAGCTTTTAGCGGTGAGCCCTGTAGCATACCTTAACATGACACCCCCACCCACATACACACACACACTCAGACAGTGAATCATTAGTGGTGTATGATTACAAGTGTGTGTGTTCATTATGAAATGTTTCTGCATCTGTATGTGGTAATTCCAGACCTGATATTCAAAGTGATGCTTTTACTTTGAAACACAGGGTCAGATTACCCAGCAGGCCACCTGGCTGGTAATAACCATCAGTTACTGGGGGCAGTTGTGGCTCAGGAGGTAGAGCGGGTCGTTTCCTAACCGGAGAATTAGCGGTTCGATTCCCGGCTTGTCCAGCCAACATGTCGAGGTGTCCTTGAGCAAGGCACTGAACCCCCAGTTGCTCCCGCTGATGTCACCGGTGTGTGAATGTGTGAGTGCTTGGGAGTGCGAATGGGTGAATGGCCGAATAATGTGAAAGCGCTTTGAGTGGGCTGTAAAAGCATAGAAAGGTGCTATACAAGTATAAGACCATTTACTGATGCTGTCATGGTAACGACCACAAAAATGATCGTGTTTTCATTTTTAACACGATGTTGCAAACATTTCATACCGACATGCCTTTTACCAGTTCTGGGGTTTCACCCACATGTGTCACATTATCAGGTAGTGTCTTTAGTTTTTAGGTCCTCCAAAGCCAGATATTCGAGAAGAGTGCACCACTGCAGTGTTTGGGTTTCTCCTACCTTTCCTCCTTCAGCCTTTGAAGCAGATTTTTTTGTTTCTACCCATCATTATCTGCAGCACCATAAAAAAGAGGGAGCAACTAACTAGCTAATTTATTGACTTCATAGCAAATTTATACTTCTGGTGTACACGCCCAAGCAGGATTGAGAAAGCTGACAGCAAAGGAAAATAAAACAACAGTAGTGATAAAATGGAATTTTTTTTAAACAGACTCGTAGACCACATATATTACCAGAAACAGGCCAATTGATGGCATTTAAAAGTGCCAAGCTAAGGCAGCGCCATGCCACAGGCTTATAAATAAAGGATGTGGAAACTGAGCAAAAACAACCTGGGTTTAAAGTTTTATAATTCACCTTTTCAGTCTATTTCAGCTTGTATTGTACCAATCCTTCTGCTGTTGCACCTGAATGTTTTTGTTTCTACTCACAGAGTTTGGGTCAGAGTATAACCAAATCAGATTTTGTACTATTTTTTGTTTTGGGGTTTACTGTTTTATTATTATTATTATTATTTTATCTGAATTTGAACAGTTTTTCAGTTTTTATGCCTGACTTTATCTGAATGTTTTGATTTGTCATCAACATTTATACAACATTTGGATCACGGTTATATTAAAATACAAAAGTTGCCAAACCTCAGTCTAAATGGAAAAGTGCCATTTTAGGAACAGTATAAGATGAGAAGGCTAATCCCAGTTTGGTTCTGGTTCCAGTGAATGTAGGTCTGCTGAGCTGCAGCTTGAGAAGTGGGACACAGCTCGTGGTGTCAACCTTCCATGACAAGGAAAACAGAGGCTGTAATGGAGATGCAGAGCACAGACACAAACAAACAAGTCATCTATTAACTAAACAGCTTGTCAGTGATGAAGCTGGGCTTGACAGGCTCAGGTCAACTGCTCTTTTGCTCTGTTGCCTCCTCTAGTGTTCAGAGAGCATCACTGCCATTTATACGTGTACCCCAGCAACTTCTTGCTGTCACTGAAAAAACACAGCAGTACATTTTTTAAGTTTGGTGTATGTTAGAAAAGTCAAACAGCACACTGTACCTGAAGACACGTGTCCAGTCAGTGTGTAAACTTGTTTGTTTCAGGGCTTTAAAAAAAAACAATTAGATACATCTGGTAAAAGAGTCAAGGGCGAAGGCCTTGAATTTGACAGCAACATTTAAAATGACAGTATCAATATGCACCAGAGGTAAATGTTTCTAAACTGTTGTACTTTTTACTGCTTTTTGAAAACTGGAATAGTTCAGATGTTTATGAGTAAAACATAACTGGATTAAATTGCCTGGTGATAGGGCGGCATGATGTTTTAAACAAATACAGAGGGTTGTAAGAACCGAAACCTTCCTCCAACAGAAACGTTTAGTGCCTTACTCACATTTGAAAGACTCTCTGTGTCCATGAGTCATCATTCACAAGTCCGAGTCAAGTCTGGAGCCAGTCAGGCTTGAGTTGCAATTCAAGTGAGAAATCTGTTTATGTGCGACTTGAGTACGAGCCTATGGAATTCTTCTGCCACCAAGTGAGCACAAAACAAACAAACAAAAAACAGTTTATGTAGCTTTAATATTAACACTGACACCTGTTTCTATCCCAGAAAGGTGTGGTGTTGGTCCACTGTAATTCCGGCGTGTCACGGGCACCAGCTGTGGTCATTGGCTACCTAATGTCATGTGAGGGCCAGTCCTTCGATGACGCCCTCTCTTTGGTCAAATCAGCTCGACCTGCCTCGTCCCCCAACCCTGGCTTCCTGCAGCAGCTGAAGAGCTACAAAACACCAATGATGAATGGATCCCAACACTAAAGGATGAAGAGAAAAACACGGAGGGGTTTAAAAACAAATAAGTTTTATTTAATGAGTATTCATGCATTCCTGTATTTTAGTGAGCAAATATTCGGGAGGTTGATATAAAACAACTTAAAAATGGTCTAGACACAACAAACTACATGCTGGAAATGTAAATTTGGCTTCTATATACAGACCTGGTTTTACTAGTCAACAAACTTTCTTGTTTGCATGTTATTACTCATGATGTCTTCCTTGTGTTTTGGTGCTCAGTCATCTCTGTGTTTAAACTGACCCAGCCTCATGTCTCAGACTCCACAATGTTATTCCTAAACATAGAAATGAATAAAAACATCAGTGAAAGAATAAGAATTTTGTTCTGTAATCTTTACTCCTGTCTGAGCAACATAGAAAATGACACTGTAGGTTTGTGACACAGCAGGAAGTCAGGCAGGGTGGAGATAGTAAAGACAAACACATCAGCATTATCTGCTGAAATGTCAGAGTGCATCAAATGTGTGATGAGACTTTCTGTCTCAGTGACTGTGCACTGCTTAATTATATTAAGACAGAGTTACACACATTTACGTCTCCTTGATTCCAGTGAACTACCTGCAGTAGTTACAATAACATTAGGTTATAGCCTCTGAACGTAATCCAGTCAGCAATGATGTTGTCTCAGAACAAATCTGTGAGTACGGTTGACCTTGGAAAGAGGAGAGTTTGCATTTCATTTGGCAAAACAGACAGCTTGTGTACCTCTGTCTGCAATCAAGGACTCTGCTACCATCATCACTGTAAAGAAAGGAAAGACTCCTCGTTAGAGCAGGAAACCATTTTCTGACCGATTTCAGTTAAACACCTGGTGTAAAATCCTGCTGCTCCACACAATGACCCTCCTCTCCTGGCTTCAGCCTCCTATATAAAAGGCTGAGAGACCTTTATGCACTTGTGAATGAGAGTGAGAGAGGGAGGCAGAGCTGTGCTGAGCAGCAGGTGGAGGCGGGCAGGAGGAAGATGCCGCTCTAGCAGGTGATCAACACAGATAGAGAATCTGCCTGGATCTCTCCTGACGATGGGCTCCTTCTGCTCGGACCTGGACAGGAGGATAACGGCGGTGATGGTGACACCACGTGAGAAGTCATCAGGTCAGACAGTCATCTTCTACCTCAGACTTAGTTCTCCCTTAGATAACTGATTAAATCTTAGTTTTACAGTAAACATTTATTTTAGATTTATTGTCCATGTGACCTTGAGCCAGCAGACAGGTGTGGCTGTCATGGGAGCAGCGTGTGTTGACATTTTGTCTTCTGGTAAATGACACCGTGCATGTAATGAGACATTCAGGTTAGATAAAAGTAAAATAAAATGAAATACCTCTCTCAGCTCCCCTCGTGTTGTTCTGCTTATTGACTCAACAGCCTCCTGACAAACAAAGACCTGAGCATATTACTGATCCAGGCTCTTATCATAAGGGACACAACCAAACCTCTTATCATCCAGACAGAAGCTGCTTCTGGTCTCTCATCTGGCCTCTTCCAGTCCCTCCAGGTCTGCCAGTTTCCTCTGGCTTAGGATCTCACCTGTTCTCTTCAAGTGTCTTCTTCTAAACACTTTGACCTTGACCTTCTGGTCCCTTCTCTGGTCTCTCTAGTACCTTTCAGTCTTGGCCTCCAGTCTTTTCTCCTCATGACTGGGTCCTGATTTCCTCCTTTGGGCTTTTACTTTGACACTTCTTCTCCCATGCCTTGCTCACCTGCCCCCTGGCTTCACTCTGCTCATTAGCCACCTGATTGTTTTCACCTGTGTCTCATCACCTCTGACTATTTAACCTGCTCTGCCCGTCATGTCAGTGCTGGGTAGTGTTTCACCTTGTGCAGTACCCTGGCCTGTTTTAGGCCTCTTGCTGGATTTGTAAGTCTGATCCTGACTTCACTGCTCTGACTTCTTTTGGACCACGTTTCTGGATTTTGGACCCTAGATCAGATTTTGAGTTTGGAGTGTGAACTTCACCTGCAGTTGTTTTTGTGTATTTCTGTTATCTCCCCTCTCGAGTCCTGTGTGTCATCTGTTTGAAAGAGCTGTGTCACATTTACCTGCCTACTCACCTGTGTGGTCTTCTATCTCCATGCAAAACAGTGCCACACCAGACTAACCAGCTTGCTCACCTGTAGGGTCTATCTTTTCCTCACACTGCCATCTCCTCTACCACTCTATTGTTTGTCACCAGTTCCAACCACCAAAGCTTAACTGGCTCATTTCCTAGAGACAGAGACCTGACTGTTGTGAGGCTGTAATCCTCCTTGCACCACTCTCAGCCCACAAAGTGGCTTCTCCCCTTCCAAATTTATACATTAAACAGTTTTCTTGTGTTTTAACCGCATCTTCCATTTATTAACCTTACACTTCTGATCTCTTGTCTGGACTCGTCTGGTCTCCTCTAGTCTGTCTTAGACTCTATTGGCATAATTTTATGTCTCTTCTTCTCTACTTGAGCCTTGTGGCCTCTGGTCAGGTCTCAGGTCTCTTCTAGCTTGTTCTGGACTGTTAGTTTTTTATGTCCTTTTTGGTTCTTGTAGTTGGTACAAGTCTATGGTCTCCAAGTTTCTCTGCCCTTGTCTTTTGTAGTATGTTATGAACTCATTTTTTTGTTGGTTTCTACTAGTGTAACCTTCCTAATGTCAGTCTCTTCTCCTAAACCAGGTCTTTTATGTGAGCACAGATTCACTCAGATCCTTCTTAATCAAGATGAGCCCAGATCAGACCAGTTGAGAACCAAGCTCACCAGACTGATCCAGCACAAGCAGGGTAGTGTCAGGGTTGCCGTGTAGGCACGACAAACGTT